GACAAGGTGTCGCAGAAACCGATGTTGCTATAACCAAGTTTTACTGTATATATATATATATATATGTGTCTCACTATCCTCAGGGTGTATACATATTAATCAGGAAGGCCGCCCCGCCATAGCTCAAGCGGTTAGTCGCTGGCTTCCCACCGCGGCAGTCTGGGTTCGATCCTGGGTCTGGTCAAGTGGCATTTGTGGTGGACAAAGTGGCGCTGGGGCAGGTTTTCTCCGAGTACTTCGGTTTCCCCTGCCAATGTTCATTCCACCAACTGCTCCACAATCACCCTCACCTATCATCTGGGGCTGGTACAATAGGCCAGAAGTGGCCACAGGACAACGGACTTAGTCCCACCCCACTAGCAATAAATAAAAAAAATATTAATCAGGAAACTTCACATACATAAAAAAACAAGGATTTAAAATCATTCATAAATTTGTAGGAGATATTACAACCAATAATTTGTTAAAATTCAGTTATGCAGGTTGTCACTGTATTATGTGATTATGGTGGTGGTACATTCTTTTTGTTGCCTCACACGTGTTTTGTTTTTGAAAAGCTCTGCAGGATAGTTGCAGTTCCTGGTGGTCGAAGCGCTTGACAGTTTAAAGTACTGGAGATGGGTAGCCTTGTGCGTGATGAGCTTTGTAGACAAGAGACAGCAGCAGACGGTTTACTGGTGGACTGGTGGACAGAGAGAGTACTGTCGGCGAGATATCTCAGTATTCCCATGTTTATACTGCATGTGTTCAAACAGTAAAGGATTTTTGTAACTTTGCTAATGTGGAACATCACATCAAAACATGATCGCGTTCTCTACCATGCTGAACAACTTCTCCAAAGTAGAAAACCCTTTCCGTGTCTAATTTTTCTATAAAATCAACTGAGATGTTTAATGCTCACTTTCCTAATGTGGAACATCACATCAAAACATGATCGTGTTCTCTACCATGCTGAACAACTTCTCTAAAGTAGAAAACCCTTTCCGTGTCTAATTTTTCTATAAAATCAACTGACATGTTTAATGCTCACATACAGGAACTTGAAAAAAGGGACTGTTTCAGCAACAGAAGTGAAATGCATAACTGGTGCCTTGTTGGTGACAGCTGACAACAAAAGTAACAATTCTTCTCATCGAGATGGAAGATGCAGGTGAAGTACTCATAACATCACATCAGTTTTGACTTTCATGTCAGCAACATTTATGGCACAACTAAATACATTATAGAATGGATCCTTCCACTTCATGATCTGAAGTTAATGTCATGGATAACATTACACAAAAATCACACCTGGGAAGATGTTCGTAAGTCACCATCATTTATGAAGAAAATAATCCTTACTCAGCCACCTGATGAAACCGGATTTGATGAATACTGTTGAGTTTCAAAATACATGAAAGAGAATTTCGGCATTTTAAAGAAGAAAATATTAGCACTGTCACAGAAATGCAGCTGTGGAAACCGTTTTCACTCGTACATATCTTCTGGATGGATGAAACAAATTGGTTACAAGTGCCACTACGAAATAAACAATTTATGCTATATAACTTAACCAAACTTCTGTTAAAGCAATTTTTTCTTTCAGAATTCTCTAAACCTTTCTAACACCACAAACATGAGTAGGGATGCATCGTTTATGGTTAAGAAACAGAGGCTTTAGTGTAGCCCCAGATTACAGGCGAAATGAAGCTATAACACGCCAATTCTTAAAACATTATGTGTATAGGCTCTTAGCCTACACTTGTCTGAGGTAAGAGGAAACCCCATTCTAAATACAAATACGTCTGGTGCGTACGTGGCTCAATAATGGCTGCATTTCATGTATACAGCTTAACTTATTCAATTCAATTTTAATTTATTCTGTTGATCCATACTGGTACAACCACTGGATATAGAAAAGTAAAAAATACAAGACAGTACTTACCACTGTACTTTCCTTCCCATCGTTCCGAGTTCCATGGCCTGCTCACTTCACGGCGCTTTGGCATTATCTTAATTTAAAATCAAAAATGTCTACACTTTATTTAGCAAACTTCTTCGTCTTAACTCAACTTTCCTACACTTACAACTCCAACAAAACTTCGGCCGTATCTTCTACAACCTTCCACGCACTAAGGCTTGAGGCCAAATACTAAAATGGCTGCACGCACGGAAAACATAACAACAAGGTAACCGTGGAAACAACACTGATAATGTTGCATAATAGTAGGCAACGGTAGGCAATTCCCATCCGGCCTTCTGTAGCACATTCATTTAAACATTTTATTTTATCAAGGCGGTCATCCCGCTATACTTAATATAGATCTTAACCGATCTTAACTTAAATCTGAGAGTATACTATTAATAATCAGTCGTGAGCGGTCGTGAGGTCACGAAAACAATACCATTCTCATCTTTATTTACCTCTGATAACTGGTCGCCAGCTCCGAGAGTTTGATCGACATGAAGGTAAGTTGTCATAGCGGTATTAGCACCTACTTCTGCGTACTGGTTCGTCTCACTCCGCTCGCCTCGGCATCTAAAGTTCACAAGAATAGCAATAAATAATTTTACATCGTGATCCGATCGTGATCTCATGTACTGCAGACGGTCTTACGACGTTGTTTTTTCTTTATTTGGAACTGAGTTTAATATCATTTATGAGGAGAAAGTTTCTCACCAGTGCCTGTAAAGTATGAACATTTCATTTACATCAATCCTTAATGATATGCACTTGACCTTGTGAACTATAACATACATAGAATACTTGTTTAAGAAAGCCAAAGGCGATGAAACTTGAAAGAAAATTCTGTTTCAGATATACTTCAGCGTGACGATCGTGACGTCACATCGAGTTGTCCTTCGACACCATATTGGGTCCGAGCGGCCCAAGGGTCTCTGTGACGCCGTGTTGTCTGGTACAAGTATATCATCGGATTGTTGGTAAACTTCTACCAGACTACACAGAGTCACACCGCAGGCGGTAGTACTTATTACCTGTCCAGTTTACCTCACTGCACATAAAGATGTGGAACAGAAATAATAAAAACCTTTCTTGTGGAACAGAACAAATAATAAAAACCTTTCTTATTATTATCAGGCCGCGCCATAGCTCAAGGGGCTAGTCGCTGGCTTCCCATCGTGGTGGCCCGGGTTCGATCCTGGTCTGGTCAAGTGGGATTTGTGGAGGACAAAGTGGCGCTGGGGGAGGTTTTCTCTGAGTACTTAAGTTTCCCCTGCCAATCTTCGTTCGACCAGTTGCTCCACAATCACCCTCACCTATCATCTGGGGCTGTTTCAATAGGCCAGAAGTGGCTGCAGTACAAGGGACTTAGTCCCACCCCACCAGCAATAAAAAAGGAGTATTATTATTTTCTGATTGACTTCAGCTCAGACTCTTTGCAAGATATGTCCATGCACTTTCGTACATTATCTTCGTGACACTGGAAATAATAAGATAATTTTATTATTTATTTTTAATTTATTGAACAGCATTTTCTGCAACTCACACCATATAACATTGAGTGAACAAATGCCAGCGAACAGTGAACTGGGAAAGATGGAAAGGAAGTGGTAGTATCCTGTCATTTGTTTCAACACACTGAAATAGTCACAAAAATGTTTGTCAAGATCCTGGATCAGATTTCAACCAAGCACATCCAAAATTAAGGCAGAAGCTTTCCTGCTTGGGTACAATTGCACTGTGATAAATAAGATTAACACTAAAGTAAAAAATTACATTGCTTCATAATTTATTTTCTCTAATAAATTTAACATTTATCTTACCTGGTTACTCAAAACAATTCATTATTGAAAATAAACAGCAAATGCTCTTTTGAATTGAAATAAAGGAACACAGCATATATCAGTCAAACAAGGTGGGATGTGAATATGTTCTACGTTAACTTTTCAGAACAGTGGTACCTAAATAGCATTCATAAAACTTTATTTCCAGATTTTCCACAGCACTGTTAATGAACTATATCCTGAAAAACATGGATCCAGCCCTTGCTGTTGCATGCAGTGCTGTATATGACTGAAAATAAATTAATAGAATTGAATTTATAAATTTATTGTTAAAAATATTATTTAGTTGCAATTATATCAATAAAATTACACATTTTGTGGTGAACATCTGAAAGTAGACACTGCCTGTGGTGATCATGAAGCTGTGGAAATTCTCAAACCAATGCAGTAGAGGGTGTGCAATATGAAACTAATATCTGCAAGAAAGAAAGCCTCATATAGTCTCTATCCATAGTTCTACAGCTTCTTGATGATGCTCAGCTGCAGCTTGCCCAAGTTTGCAACCTGAATGATTCTGTTTCTTTATATTAGTCACGTGGTCACATATTCTTATTTAATTAATGAAATTGATGGTGTAACAGTAAATCATTTTAAAAAATTAGTAAAATTAAATGGCTGTACAGATTTGAATGAAACTCATATAAGCTGTGTAGAACACATCCAAATATGTATTCAGTTCAGCAAATATATATTTTCCATTTCAATGTTAAAACAAATATTTTTTATATGTACTACTCACTTGTTGAGCATTTCATATGATACTACAGCTGAATTTCTGAAATCTACAGAATGGCCATTACATTTTCCATATTTAACTTAACAGGTGAAAAATACTATATTGTAGCATCATATTGTGCATGTGAAATTTCATTTTATTCCATCACCACAATAGGTAGTGTGAACTGTAACCATACATCCCTCGCTGAAAATTATTTAATTGTAGTTATGACCAATTTATGCATTGTTTTCACATCCTGAAAGATGCTTCTCTGGCGAGGTACCATACAAGGACCATCTAGTTGTAATTCAACATTGTCCTCCTTAGACTTAGTGTGTCACTATTGTCATTAACGTTGCCAGTTTGCTCCTCGTGTTATAAATCCATGGGTTGACATTGAGCAAGACTGGCCAGTAAGGGTTTTGAGTTCCCTGTTCATGTGTCTTGGATACCTGAAAAGGTTTAAGATAGACAGCTGTCTCTTGTTTTTTTCTTGCTTTTATTTTATGGCCACTGGGGGACTTGTGAAAAGAGGCAGTCGGTTATTGGGAGCGGAGGTGGACAGTGGAAATGTAGATGCAGAACAGAGAAGTGAGTGACAGTAGGAGGTAGCGAGTAGTGTGTATGGCCAGCGAGCTGGGAGAGGATTGGTGTAAATAAAAGTAATGTTGACAGCGGAAGTGATGACTGAAAGGCTAGCTTGAAGGTGGATTAATGTAAAGATTGACAATCATTGTAAGCAATTCTAGTTTAACACCGCACTTTTCCAACCCGCCTTTGTTTGTATCGGCTCAGTCGGAATGGTGCTATCCCTGCTACACCTGTTTCTACCTTAGGACAGTGTATGATGGCCACTGCAAGTTGTCCTCACAGGTCAAACTAAGGAAGATCGGTATAGGTACAGGAAACTAGCTGGGTCAGTTTGCATGAGTCTCAGGGTAGCGATGCCGAAGAAAGCGTTATTCTGGGAGTTAATCCAAATGACGTTTATTCACCTGCTAATTCACCACACTGTTAAATTATTGTATTCTTAGCTTTAAGTTACAGCGTTACACTATCGGCTAGCTATGTCCCGGAGCGTGCAAAGGTCACGTCCGTTCAGTTCGGNCTTCTTGTTTCTGCCAGAATCTAGAAATTTTCAACATAAACACCGTATTGCACGTCCCAGACAGTGAAATACGATATTAAAGATCACAATACATTTCCGGTAATACCGAAACATAAGACTTTTGAAATTTAAATTACCGAGAATTAATTAGAAATAAATTTCATGGTCATCTATAATCATCCAAATAAATAAGGGCTCAGAATGATCAGCGTCAAGTTTAAAACAATAAAACAGTTCTGGAGACCCCATAATTCATAAACACCGAAGTGTGTTCACCTCCTGGTATCTGAAACGCCCTGTATCCCTGGGACAAAGAACTTTTCTTGAGTGATAGTTGAGGAATCAGTAGGAGTATGTTGTATTGATGTAAATGTGATGTACATTGCAGAGATATTTTGTCATGATAGACGCATTTATAAAAACGGAGTAGTAACTGATGCAGTACTAGAGAAGAGGATGGTAAAATGATGTGTTGTTCTTTAAACTCTGGATTTGAAAGGCCTAATGCGCACAAGATAGTAGCCAAATTTTTATCGACAGAGCTGTCGACAGTGGCTGGGGGCTATTTGGCAGCCATAACCTGAGCGCTGACAATAGAGGGAAGCATACTGTTTTCGCTGCGTCAAGGCGGCTACATTGCTAGACTAGAACATAGAGCCGCACACGGCTGACAGGAAATATATTTATATTACGAAGTCCGTGCTATCGTTCGTCCAATTTGGTGTTTTGGAATATTCGAAACATGCGCACTTTCATGCCAAGGGCAGTGTGAAGTGTTTTGGTCTTGCTGACCTTAAGAGAAACGAAAATGGTGAGATTTATTGTGTATAACTAGACTCGAACTCAGAATGTGTTACCTATGTACACCAGTTTCAATTATCATGAAAACCGACATTGCTTCTCTTGCAGCATAAATTGAAGTCTTCACAGAGAGACAAGGTCAAGAAATTCATAGCATTTACCCAAACAGGAGAAAACACTGCTATATTTTGTCTGTCTCAGAACGACTGGAAATTAGATTTGGCTTCAGACAATTATTTTCAGAATCCCGATGTGTACTTCAGAGAACCAAAGATTTCTGTGGATAAGAAGAAGTTGGAGCAGCTTTTTACAAGATATAGAGGTTCTGTAATTAAAATTCTTGTATTTTAGATTATTTATAAGCTTGTGTATTTATGATTTCTTATATATATCGATTTGGGTAATCCTTCTAGTCTGCATCGCTGTTATTTATGTAGTTATGTTACTGGGTTAACGGGCGTATCTTGCAAAATTGTGACCAGTTTTGTGAGGTAACGTACAGTGGTTTATATCAGGGATGGTTCTATCTACATTCGTTGAGATGTAATGGTTGTTGGTTAGGTTAGATTGGTTTATGTTACATCTAAGAACCTCGAATTGTGTGAAATGTATACGCAGAATGTTATGAAGCTATATTGAAATTAAGTCTTGTTCAGTCCATGTGTATGCTGTACATCTGCCACAAACTTATTATACAGTTCATGTCCTTTTTATAGCATCGCTCAGTTGATAAGTATGGTTATTGACTTTTTGGACATTATGGCCCTGTTTTTATTTAAACATTTCGGAGGCTGGACTCTGTCTCCGTCCTTGGTTAAAAAGCCTACTCAGTTGGGCCCAATCAAACTTCAGAGACAGGACCAGCACAAGGCAGATATATAAACCAAACATAGTTTTATGGTATCTTAGTTATGCATGCATTCAGGAAAGGTGGCCAAAGCGAGAAACTTCATTTACAATTGCCTGTCTTGTTTAAAACACATTTTCATATAGGTTAACATTAGATGCACCTGCCCACACGTCTCTGAAAAGCACAGTGTTTGTGACTAAAAACAGCATGTTTATCGTTCTCCATCCTCCCTACTTGCCGGACTTAGCCCCCTGTCATTTCACTTTGTTTCCCAAATTGAAAATGAAACTGAAACTGTCTGACATGCAAAGGGTGCTGGACATCATTAAGGAAACTGACTTCCACGGTGCTTTTGAAGCGTGGAAAAAAACAATAGGGTCACTGTATATGTTCCAAAGGGGACTATTTTGAAGGACATGGCAGCCAAAATTGAGTAAGTTAAGCCTGCATTTCTTTTTTGACCTAGTCGGGAAACTTTCCGATAGTACCTCATATAAAAGACAAAATTTATGACCTTGCAATGAACATTAAGTACAAGAACACTGGAGACCTGTATAGAGGAATAAATGAATTTAAGAAGGGTTACAAACCTAAAAGTTGCTGAGTGAAGTTTGAGAATGGTGATCTGCTTGGAGATTCCCACCACATTTTGAATAGGTGGAAGAGCTACCCATCCCAGTTATTGAAAGTACATAGGGCCAGTGATATACATACACCTGAGCCATTAGTACCTGATCCTAGCCCTTTTGAGGTTGGAATTTCTATTGCAGAGTTGTAAAGGTATAAATCATCAAATAGTGATCAAATTCAGGCTGAACTGATTAAAGCAGGAGGTGGAACATTACGGTCTGAGATCCATAAACTCATTAATTCTGCTTGGAATAAGGAAGAATTGCTTGATCAGTCGAAGGAGTCTATTATGGTACCAATTTACAAAAAGGATGATAAAACTGACTGTAGTAATTAATGTGGGAGATCACTGCTGTCAACTTCATAACAGAATTTTATTCAGTATCCTCTTCAGGTTAAGTCCATACATAGATGAAATTATTGGAGATCATCAGTGTGGGTTTTGACGTAACAGATCAACTACTGATCACATTCTTTGCATTCCCCAGATACTGGAGGGGAAGTGGGAGTACAGTGAAACAGTACATCATGTTGTATCCTGAAGGATAGTGGTGGGATATGCTTGTAGACCAAGCAGAAGTCTTGTGGTTGGGATCATTGGAGCACTTAAGCATTGAAATTGAAGTCTTTGGAAGTCTGTGCTCAGGTTTATAGAAAAAATATATTGAATAAGATGGTTATACAAGGTTACAATTGGGATATTAATGAGTACTGCTTGATGAACAAGCAGAAGGATCTGAATGTACTATGCATCAATGAAGTAGGATTCGGCAAGTATTGAGAGGTAGCCTCTAAGGAGGTGTTCAGTGTAATACTCAATGATGCTGCACTGAAGTTCAGTAATATCACACGAGTGCGTGACGCTAGTGATTAAACTGGCGAGGAGTCCGACCGAAGTGAACAAGTCAGAAGTCTAGCGTGATGTCCACCATTGCTGGCAAAGCCTGTGATTTTAACAGTTTGAGGCCTGGTCACATGGTATCATGCTTTTGGCTTTTAAATGTGGCGGACCGGTCGCATGATATCATGATTTTAGGACACGTTAGGTTGTAACACACTATACCTTGCTCTGGCGCCACCCAAGTTGCACGCAGCTGCGTAATAAAACTCTGGAATGTTTGCTTGCTTGTCAGTAACTTGACCTCACTGTTTTCTTAACCCACTATAAAGGAACGTGCTTTGCCTTTGTATGTATCAGCCAATAGTTAGTGGTGACATATGAATCAAGGACAGATTCTTCTCTGATGAGCTAGCTGACCTGCCTTGTGAGACGCATAGTCATGGTGATTCAGAGAGCAGCAGTGACAGGGGAGAACAAAGACTTGTGGCCACATACAGTAAAAGTGACAGTAGCTCCGACGATAATGGGGGTAATAACATTGTGGGGACAGTAAAAAATCTAAAAAAATCACAAAAATCTAAACCATGATTCGAAATTGAAATACAAGGCATTTCTGATGACTGTGGCAAAGGCCTGGGCTACAGACCAGGTGGTGGCAGCAGAACCAGAGTCAGACACAGACTTAGTGCGACCAGGCCCGTCAACTCCCACCCCACGCAGGCCTCATGTGGACCCCCCAGGGTGACTCTCGGGTGATATGCGGAAACATACCCTCGTGAAAATTGTGAAGAGTGAACATTCCAAGGGGAAGCATCCTAGGCAATGCTGTGTTTGCACAGTTCACAAAAAAAGGAGTATGACTGTATACATTTGAAAGTGTATAATGCCACTTCACAAAGGGGAATGTTTCTAGAAATATCACACTCTCAAGCACTTCTAGGAGCACTGGTAAGTGTTCTCCAAAAATTTTAGTTCATAAAATTAATTAGGAGATTTTATATTAATTTTTAAAGTGAACAGTGCACAAATTAGGGTAGTAGGTTTAAAAAGTCTGGTTCCCAGGGTGATTTAAATATTTAAATCACTGCTCCGCAATGAGTTAAAAGGATTTGAACCCTGAACTTGGTGATATATTGGGTTTCTGGACTTTATCCATCGTCCTAGATTTAAGATAAATAAAAACACGACGTTTCGGAAACTGGATCTGTTTCCGTCCTCAGGCGAAGGAAAAGGGGAACACCTATTCTGTTGGGTCCGCTAGAAAGAGCTAGCCTCAGTCCAGTGATTGAGGCTAGCTCTTTCTAACGGACCCAACAGAATAGGTGTTCCCCTTTTCCTTCGCCTGAGGACGGAAACAGATCCAGTTTCCGAAACGTCGTGTTTTTATTTGTTATCTTAAAAACTAGGATGATGGATAAAGTCCAGAAACCCAATATATCAGTGTGTTATACACCATCGTCAGAATCCTATAGTAACTACCTGAACTTGGTGCTTGGACACCCAGAGACACGCCTACTGAGGGCATAGCTAGATTCAGGATTGACATTTGATTCATCGTCCATAAAGAAGAGTATGACCACTCAGCCATAAGGAGTACTGGATGGTCATAGGAATTCTAAATTAGATTTCCAATTAGGAGGATTTTTTTAAATCCCAAAGGGAAAACACCTGCAGGAAGTTCCCATAAGCATGTCTCTCCCCAAAGGGTGAACCTCTTATTTGTATTCACACAGAATTTCAGGGTCTAGACTACCCCATACAGGAAACGGACAACTTAGAATAAATAAGTAAGGTTGCCCATGGTGCATGGTACATGTTCACATATTGTAAAACTTATGCGGGGGTTGAATACATATTACAATCAGCTATTCATAGACTTCATGAGAGCCTATGATTCAGTTGGGAGGAAAGTTTTGTGCAATATTCTCATAGAGTTTGGGGTAACCATGAAACTGGTTAGGCCAATTAAAATGTGTTTAAATGCAACACACAGTGAAATCCTCATAGGTAAACAGTTTTCTAATAATTTTCCTATCCAGAGTGGTCTAAAACAAGGAGTTGCTTTATTGTCACTACTTTTCAACTTTGCTTCTGAATATGCCATTAGGAAGGTCCACGAAAACCAGGTGGGACTGAAATTAAATGGAACACATTAGCTGCTGCTCTGTGCTGATGATGTGAATCTGCTGGAAAATAACATAGATACCATCAAGAAAAGACAGAAACTTAATTGGCACCAGTAGGGAGGTTGGTCTAGAAGTAAACTCAGAGAAAACTAAGTATATGTCTCATCACCAGAATGTGGGACAGAATCGTGACATAAAAATAGCTAACAGGTCCTTTGGAAATGTGACACAATTCAGATATTTGAGAATGACAATAAGAAAAGTAAATCTATCCATGTAAAGGGCTGTGGATGCCCATACAGTTGTGAGACATCGAAGCTTTCACATTTTATAGAAATTCAGCTCACAGCGGTGAGGTCAGCCTGATGCCCTTTACCCCCATAAAGATTCCAGATACTCATTTCTGTTATAGGCTGAGTTGACCCCAGGGCCATAGTGCAGCTGGACGGAAGGATTAGGTCAACTGAAAAATCCAGTGACCTCATTGGGAATCGAGCCCACGACCTTCCAGCTTGTAGCATAGTGCCTCAACCAACTATGCTGCTGTGTGCAGCTTGGAATGACAATAGCAAATCAAAATTTGATTCAGGAGGAATTTAAGATAAGATTGAATTCTGGTAATGCTTGCCGCCATTCCGGGCAGAGCCTTTTGTCTTCTTGTCTGCTGTTTGAAAGCATAACATTTAGAATATTCAAAACACTAATTTTGTCTGTGGTTCTCTGTAGGCATGGAACTTGGTTTCTGAAATTAAGGGAGGAACATAGACTGAGGGTATTTTTTAGAATAGGGTGCTGAGAAGAATATTTGAACCAAAGAGAGATGAAGTGACAGGAGGTTGGAGAAAACTGCATATTGAGGAGCTTCATAACTTGTA